CCTTACGGGATAAGACGCAACGACCAGGGTGAAGAATATCTACAACCATCTGCTTACGCTGAAGAAGACGATTTGAAATAAACTTCCTAGTCCTAATGAGAGTAGAGTCAGACTAAAAACAAAGTTAATTAAAATAAAGAAAGAAAAAGGGAAAAAAAGAATAAGACAAACCATTGTAAATGCACGCAACAGAAAGGACGAATGAAGCGGGGAAATGTGAACGATGAAATAAATTACGAAAAAATCAAATAAAAGATGTAATAAGTTATGAAAATTATGAAATAGTCACATATAACGTTAACATAATTGATATTGATTAAATGTAGATAGATAAAAAGTTAGATATAGTTAAGATACATTTTTTAAACTTTAAATATTAATGTAATTTAAGTATATTTGTAAGCGACTAAGCGAGATAACAACGACGAGATTTACAAATTAAATTATGGGCTTTGTATAGATTGTGTATGGGGCTGGAACCGAGTGAAATCAGCCAACCATAAAGATTATAAACGAATCTATGGGCCCATAAGGCAGATCCGGATATTAGTCCTGAGTCGGATCAGTCACTCGGAAGATCGAGGAGTAAGATAGGCAGCAGGTGTGATTACGCCACAATGAACTTTTCAATAAGGGCACACCTTTCGAGGATTAAAATATAAGAAAATTATAAATTTTGATATGACGGAAGTTAGATCAGATGTAGATAATTTCATTGAATTTCAAATAGCCTAAAGTTTCCAAAAGCTGATCACATCCAGGGTTTATTGCAGCTTCGAAGCCAGAACAGAAAGACGAATAATTGCACAATCGTTTTTTTAAAAAGTTGGACCAAGGCGAGTTCGAAGCTGCGATCAACCCTGGATGTGATCAACTTTTGGAGACTTTAGGCTATATGAAATTCAATGGAATCGTCAGCTCTAGTCATATACTTGTGGAAAAGTTCGAATTCTAAATTAAAGGAAATTGGCAGAATACATCTCATATAACTGCCTTACTGATACTCTCGGAACACCTAATATATTTGAAAACAAATAATTTTAGCCCTTTAATATATTTTAC